GCTCCCTGATTATAATCAGTCAAGACAATAAACCGGTGATTTGCAGCTTCTCCCCGTGTCAGCTGTGAATCTCTTCTCATCCACGGACCCGGTGGAGACGCCGTGCTCCAACAATATGCACCTCTGAAATTTTTTTTTTCTGTTTAAATGTTCCCTGTAGAATCTTACCTCCTGTTCCCGTTGGTGACAAAAATCAGGAGTGTATTATGTTTCTGTGATAACTTTAATACTGCTACTAGTCGTCTTTACGCCCTCAGTATGACGGCATCAAGCATTCCGGACCCTAGCCAAATGAAATCCGTCAGCATTGCATGCGGCCTCCCGGCGCCAGGTGGTGCTGTGACTGCCTTTCTAGCCCGTGTAATTTATTTTTTTTTATTAGCCCGTGTAATATGGTGCGTTTGAACTCGGATAAAAACGTCACTTCCCGTCGGAAACACGCCTCTTTTATGACGTTGATGTCGTTGGCTGGCGAGTGCAGTGTGTCGATAAAATATGGCGCCGCCTAAGAGTAGCAACGTGACTTCAGACAAATCAAAGAATTCCAAAAATACAACTAAAACCGACATTAATACTAAAGCTGATCTTATTATTCAGAATCGTAAATGTGCCAATGACATCTTCGACATTTTTGAGCATTTACAGGTGAGTAGTTGCACGTCGCCCTTCTTGTGTCGACCGGAATATATCATCTTTATTGCAGTTTAATAGAATTCTCAACCATGGTAGTTGCTTTGCTGCTTGTTACAGAGGAACATTTTGTATTTACACTCAAACGGAAATACAATGTTTTTTTTAATGGAGGGGTGATAGCGACTGAAACAGCATCCTTTCATACTAGCAAATGAGCAGTTGCACTACGGGCGTCATTAAGGGGATGCCTGTCTCTTCTCCAGGCAGAGAAAGACAGAGATGTTATCTGCGCGATTGGAGCCTGCAGCCGGATATTTTGCGCGCTCATGGGTCGGGGTGACCTGTTTGTGGGTCCGCTGCCAGAGGAGGACAGCCTGCTGACCGGTGTGTGAAGAGAACCTCCATCTAAAACGTGTCTGTCACCTGCAATTTGTGTTCTGTTGTGTCGGGCAACAATATATTTGCAGTTTCATGAAGTGAAAGCCGTTCCAAAACCCGTTGTTTTTATGCCAGGTAGCGCAAGACCTAAGCAGAATAAGATCTGCTTAGCAATTTTGGTTTTACAAACGGAATGATGTCAGTATTTGTAGATGCGACTGCATCCTTCCGTCAGAGCTCACTGACTCCTGTGCGTCTCCTCCCAGTGACAGGAAAACATAGCGCTGATGAGAAGTATGGCATCTTCATGCGGCATCGGTACAACGACTGTGTCAAGCTTCTGCTGGAGCTGATGGCTAACAGTAACCACCAGGTCAAGGTAAGGTTTGCCTTCTGGGACTTAGTGAACATAGAGACCAGCACCAGAATCACTCCTCTGGTTGTTTGTCTTTTTTTGTACTGGAGTACATAGCAAACTCGTATGCAAAGTAGGGTGCATGTGGTTGTAAGACCTGGACCCATCAGTAGAGGGTTATAAGTTCATATCCTAGATCAGTGTTTCCCAAAACAATTTTTGGGCCCCCTGGACAGTCCACGTTTTTGCTCTCTCCCAGCTCCCAGCCAATCAAGAACTTCCAGTACCTGATATATTGGTGTTTTGGGAGCTAGAACTATACAAAAATGTGGACTGTCTGTGGATCCCCAAGGATGGGGTTGGAAAATGCTGTCCTAGATACAGGTGTGCTGTTATGTCTTTGAACTTGCTAATTGATTTCAATTAAACAGAACAGTCAGATGGTAATTCTGAAATTACTTTGACTTGACTTTGACGTTGAAATGTGAGTGTGATTCGCTTTGGATGTAGTTGCATGAGTGGCAGCTTCATGGTTATGGGAGCTGTAGTCTGACTTCCTGAACCTGCATGTTGTTCTCGCTTCATTCACGGAGTGACATGTGAGTGAGTAAATGAACAACGCCTCACTCTGAGTGTGATCGCCTTTAGGAGGGTGCTCTGTGCACCCTGATGAAGTTTGTTTCTGCGGAAGGACAGCGCCCCCTCAGCTCTGTGGACTGGGACTGTCACTACAACTTCCCCCGGGAGACGCTGAAGGTAAGTACAAATCAGATTAGCAAGGTCTTTATTTTTAATTGTAATACCTGTGTGTTTTTTCCCCTCATTTTAACCAATAAGTTGCAGCTTTGCTGCTTCTGTGTCATCAGTTCTGGTGTGAGATGGAACCACAGTCTTTTGCAGTGTGTGTGGATGCCTTTTCAGTATGATTGATGGGTGTCGTTTTTCTCTGTGTGCAGGCTGTGGTGTGCGGGCTCCTTTCAGAGAAAGAGGACATGGCTCTGCTGATCTCCAGGTTCCAGGAGTTCCTGGAGATGGACGATGTGCGGTATTATGTAATGGGCCTGGTCAGCGACAGCGTGGGTCGGGTTACGGCCCGGGCCAAGGAGGTAATGCCCTTCTCTCTTTAGGCTGGGATTAGGGACCTGCTCGTTATTCAGCTGGGCCATTCTGGATGATCCTGTTATCTCAGAAGCTTGTTCCTACAGTTCCTGTTATGTTAAAGGAACGCGCGTGATGTTCTGCTGCAGGATGGCTTTGGCTTAGTAATGCCCCCTGTTTAGTATGCGGTCAGGTGTCACTTTCACATTGTGCTGTGGGTACCTGTATGGTACCTGTATGGTACTTGCCCCTGGCAACCATTTTATCCATCTGTCTCACAGGCTTCTTCCCATCTACCAAAACAACGTGTTCGCTTTGCTCTCCAACATCAACATGCCAAGCCAGGAGTCTGAGCTCACCAACTTCCTGATCCAGATGGACGGTCAGTGAGATCCTCTGATTATTACATATTGAAGGGCATGTCGGTCTGGCCTTTTCATTGGTGAACATTGGAGCACATATTGGTCTGGCCTTCTCATTGGTGCGCAGCAGAGCACAAGTTGGTCTGGCCTTTTCATTGGTGCACATGGAGTACATGTCGGTTAGTCTTGTGTCCACTGGGTATAGACTGTGTCTCTTTGTCTGTCTGTAGGTGATCGAGGAGACTGGAAACCAGCAAAACTCAAGGTAATTGTTTAGCTCTGTAGATGGGGGTTCATCTCTCTGGTTAGTGATAGGGGACTTTATCATGATAGCTGGAAAACAGGCCTGAATGAATGATAACTAAATGATAAACACTACAAAACGGATACATATGTAAAGGTCATTATTTGGTCACCTTCTGACCATGAGTATCAGTGTGTTTTTATTTTGTCCCCACTTCATTAGGACCACAGGCGTGCCTTTGAGAGGATGTGGCTGGGATTTCTCAAGCACAAGGTATGAATTTCTAAAGCACTGGTACTTTCCGAAGAGTCTCCTGTTCATAACTTTGAATGTTGCCTCTGCCTCCTGCCAGCTGCCCAGTAACATGTATAAGAAGATCCTGGTGGTCCTCCATGAGTCCATCCTCCCCCACCTGAGCCAGCCAACCCTAATGATAGACTTCCTCACTGCAGCTTATGACATTGGTCAGTTGGTGGAGCCCCCTGCCTCCCATTCCCAGGCACTTATGAATTTGAAATGCAGTTTATTTGTGCTCTTTGATTGACTCTTGTCTGATCTATGCTGGGCTACTATTTATGTGCATGTTTTTCTCTCTTTGTCCTCCAGGGGGTGCCATCAGTCTTCTGGCACTGAATGGACTTTTTGTGCTTATCCACCAGCACAACCTGTGAGTCTGGGACTTTGCATTCATACTGTATCTCATGCTGCTGTAACCCTTCAGCCAGCTTAGCGCGAGTCCGCCTGCATGTCCGGTTATTTTCTTCTCTTTTGTCCTGCTAGAGACTATCCGGATTTTTATAAGAAGCTGTACAACCTTCTAGACTCATCGGTGTTTCACGCGAAATACAGAGCGCGCTTCTTCCACCTGGCTGATCTCTTCCTCTCCTCCAGGTCAGTCCTGTCTGTCCCCCTCTAACACAAGTTCCCTTTGCAGTTTGTAACAGAAGCACGACTCCACAATGTAGAGGGAGCGTTAACTTCCTGAATACTGATCTGTACTTCACCACAGGGCTGTGCAATGTCACCTCGTGATTAAATGGTGCATCTGCAATGATCGCTAGGGGTTTAGGTGACGGGCGAAACATTTGTCCAGACGCCAGCTGTTTGCTGTTATTTGGATGTTTACTTACAGCCACAACTTGGTAAGCAGATTAGCAGTGCTCCTGAGATATTAGTCATCTGTATAAGTTTGGCATATCTTTGTTTGGCACTTCAAACTTCAAAAAGTACCACTGCACCCCCACAACTTTTTACCACGTTTATCCAAATGATGCCCCCCCCCCCTTCAAAGGATGTGGTTGCTGACCTGTCCCTCTCTTCACCGCTGCTTCAGTACTTATCACTTTCATGATTTACCAGAACAGTAGGATGTGGTCTGCTCCGCTAACCCAATTTAATAAACATAAGGATAATCTGCTTATCACATTGTCGGCACAAATAAATGTCGGTATAGTACCGAAAAGCCGGCGTCTGGCCAAATGTTTCACCCGTCATCTAAAGCCCTGGTGATTATTGCGCGTGTGCCATATAATCTCGAGTACGTTGGGATGTGATATCGTTTAGCCCGACTTCACCATCATGCCACAACAAGATCAACGAAGCCATGGCCCTCTCATCGTTTGTTTCTCCACAGCCATCTACCCGTCTACCTGGTTGCAGCGTTTGCCAAGCGGTTGTCACGACTGGCACTAACAGCGCCCCCTGCTGCCCTGTTCATGATCCTGCCCTTCATCTACAACCTGATTCGGCGTCATCCTGCCTGTCGGGTCTTGATTCACCGACCGGATGCCCCTAATGGTAAATCTTTCCCTTGATCAGATTAGTTATTAATTTATTGTTCTTAATTTTATTTATTAAACTGTATTCACGACGCTTATGAAATGGAGACATTGCTAGTGGACAGACCAGGTTCTATTCCTCCATTGCTGAGGCGGCTGTGCGGAGCTGCGGCTGTAAGGTTCTTGGTGCTTGTTGCAGCGGCAACCCCCAAGTTTGGTGGTGGACACAAGCAGTAAAGGGAGCCGTCTGGCTGAAGAAGGAGGCCTTGGTTAGCTTGTGGGGTCAGAGGGCAGCTGACGGGTAGCGGCTGGCCGGCAGAGTACGGCTTTGGCAGTTGCATTTTACAACAGGGATGGAATGCTGTTGACCTCAGCTGGGGATATAGTTGGGTGGTGGAAGGAGTACTTCCAGGACCTCCTGAATCCCACAGATATGCCTTTCATGACACATGTACTTAGAGGACTTGCCCATCACTAGACAGTATTATGTTCCATCGTGGTGAAGAGAGAGCTGAGGCAAAAGGGGAGGGTTTTGATTTACCAGATGATCCATGTTCCTACCCACACTAGTGGTCACAAGCTGTGGGTAGTGACTGAAAGATTGAGATCACAGATACAAATGGCTGAGCCTTAGAGATGGAGTGAGGAGCTCAAAGTAGAGCAGCTGCTCCTCCGCCTCGAACGGAGCCAGCAGGGATGGTTTGGGCATCTATCTAGGATGCCTCCTGGACGCCTCCCTGAGGAGGTGCTTCATGCATGTCCAACTGGGAGGAGACCCTGAGCCAGACCCAAGACACACTGGATAGATTATATCTCTCAGCTGACCTGGGAGTGCCTGGCTGTCCTCCCAGAGGAGCTGGAGGAGGTGACTGTGGAGAGGGAGGTCTGGGCATCTCTGCTTTGACTGCTGCCCCTGACACACGGATAAACTTCGGACAATGGATGGATGAATAGAGTTTATTCAAAGTCTGCAGTTCATGTGTTTGGTAGAACACCTCTGGGATTCTTTTTGCTTAGAGCCCTTTGATGATCCTTACCTGATGGAGGAGGATGACCCCGCCCTCTGTCATGCCCTCGACAGCAGCCTGTGGGAGCTGCAGGTATGTGTGTGTCGCCAGGGGAGGCTGACGGCCCTTTAATCCCGTCCTCACTGTGCACCCATCTTCTCTGACTCAGACCCTCCAGAAACACTACCACCCAGATGTGTCCAAAACTGCCACGGTGATCAACAGGCCTCTTTCAGAGCAGGAGGACGACATCAGCGAGCTTCTCGAGTTCTCGACATATGAGGTGACATGGTGTCATGCACTTGTTTCTCACTTTCCGTTTCCCCTGCTCTCTAGCTATGAATGAAGATGAGCAGCTCAATAGTCCTGGTTGGTTGGCTTGATACTGGTGTACCTGTACCAAGGGGTTCAGTGTGTGTGTGTGTGTGTGTGTGTGTGTGTGTGTGTGTGTGTGACACTGCCTCTCTCCTCACAGCTCTTTGAACGGGATCTGCAGCAGCTGCAGAAGCAGCCAGTAGCCCTGGAGTATGAAGGAGTCTCACAGCTGCTGGAGGGGTCTGGGAAGGTTCTGGGTGGTTTTTTTTCCTTGGAGTGAGAATGTAAATGGACAGGGTGCATTATCTAAAGATGATGTTCCCCTGGTACTGGAGCTTGTATAAATTTACAAATGTAATCCTATGATTTTTTTTAAATAAAATTTAAAAGATTTTCCCATGAAATCAGTGTATGGAATTTGCACGATTTAATTCCATTTGAATTTATATTATGGGTTGTTTGGCGGTGTTTTTGAATCATTCCAGTTAAAACACAAGTACGTTAATCAGACATCACCTCTGAAGTATAAGTACGGAAAGAACAGGGCTTGTTCATTAGTTTATTATTGGTACATTCAGGCATAATTCTTTGCAAATTTTAATATATCTAAACAGATGACCTTACCATGGTTAGGTGGACAGAAAATGATTTTTAAAACATAAAGCATATAAAATCCTAGTAGATTCTAGTGGAGTCTTAGTTGTATCCATGCAGTAGCATTTATGTGTGAATTGTGCTAAATGTTTATTTTGCCCATTGCATTGTCTAATTCGTCTTTCCAGTTATTACATGAGCTGATGTGTAGCTGAATTTCTAACACTGTAACCTGTTGAAATATTATTTACCATTTCACTCTTTCAGTCTTTAAAATTCCCAACATTGTTAAAATTAATTATTACAAGCATCTACAGCTCTTAAGTTTTCCCAAACTTCTTTTGCCTGCTCTTTCTGCTCCAGACTCAGAAGTACGGCTCCACGCTATCGGTCAGTCATAGAGACGAGTGGGAGAGTGAACCAAGGGAAAGAAAATGTAACTTCATGTGGACAGGATAGTAACGAAGCTAAATGTGATGTCTGTCAAAGTACGGTTGTTATTTTAAAATATATATTTGTGTATATCGTGGTATTTTGGAATCTTGGCGATAAAATTAGCCAAGCAGAGTAGAGGTGCCCTATGATGAAGTTCCACCGTTGTACTAGTATATCCAACATCCCACAGTATATACGATGTTACCTTAATATCGCCTAAGCCTATAAAAATACATTTCGAGTGAATCAATTAATATTGACTACTAATTTAATAAGCATAAGTGTAGTGTCTAAACCAGATAATCTGATTCATAGCCTATTATTGTAGCCTATTTTTCCTCAGTACTTATTTAAGCTACTGTACAAAATTCAGTTTATCCATCGTGTTTGGTGGTGCTGGTTCCATGTTGCGTTGGGCCTTCAGTTTATCTATCGTGTTTGGTGGTGCTGGTTCCATGTTGCGTTGGGCCTTCAGTTTATCCGTCGTGTTTGGTGGTGCCGGTTCCATGTTGTGTTCTTTTAACAGGAACCACTGTTTTACAGGCATCAACAAGCATACTAATCATCAGCCTCTGGAATACGTCTGACATAAGTATGCTGTGTCACACGTAAAACTCTCCCACGTAACACAATATGTTCACTGATTATCATGTTATAAGCTGCTCATTTAATGCAGCGTGTGGCTCAGTGGGCTAAGCCATGTGCCTGTAATCAGAAGGTCGCCGGTTCAAGCCCAGCCTCAGCACGTCTGTGGGACCTTGAGCAAGACCCTCAACCCCCAGCTCCCTGGGCGCCGCTACAGGTGGCTGCCCTTCGCGGACAGCTTGCTCTACAAAGAGCAAGTTGAGGGAGGCGTAAAAAGAATTTCCCCACGGGGATTAATAAAAGTGTCAATCAATTAATGAAATATTACAAAACATGTATCAGCCATCATAAACAATTATCCTGAATCCTTAACCCTCAGACGGTCTAATGCCTTCTGTTATGCTTTACAGAATTGTTTAGTAGACTGGCTTGGAGCTGATCTGGCCTAGTTGAGGAGATGGAGGGTTCATCACTGTAGCTCAGCCGCTGTTTACGTCCTCACAGTCACCTCGACTCACAGACTGTATTCATTAGCATGTAAGCTCCATTGCAGGCATTAGGATGAGCAGGATGTTAAATCAGTCAAGTCATGAGGCACTTATCAGTTGTTTCAAAAATTGCACCATAATATAAAAAAATGCATTTTATTGCATAATCCTATATGGGAGATTAAGTCAGAGTGAAAAACTGTTCTTTGTTTAGGTTCCTCATTTCACATTCATATTTTTATATTTTAGATAAAGTAAAAGCAAGCATGGTGGTGCTTAATTACTGCTCAGATTTTCCTGAAATAGCCTTGGTACAAGAACCACAGAATCTCAGATCATAAGGCGAATAAATTCAGTCCTAGCATGGCATGGCGTAACTTCAGTTGTAAGGTCAGACAAAGGACCCCCAACTCTGCTGTGCCGAGTTTAGAGCTTTCACATAGCAATAAGGGTTTAAGCATTTTATCTGAAGTCCAAACTACCCACATTCAAACGGGTTAGTGGAGAAAAGGGTGAAATTAGTCAAGCAACTGATCAGGAAAGCAGTACTATCAAAGAGATCCTGATCTTACTTTGCCCAGCTCCTCTAAAGAACGGCCTGTCACCAGCAGACACGTCGTTTAAGAGGAAGTTCAGAACAACCATATCTGATGTCCTTCAAACTAAAAAAAGTTTGCTGGAAGGCAAACAAAGAAAAACACAAGAGGTAATATGACAAAGGGGCTAAAGTTGAACCCAAATGACAGAGAAAGAAACACATAATGGCAAAAGTTGGAATCTGTATCCCAGAAAAGTTGCACCCAGGTGATGTAAGGCAATGACCCCCGAAGGGGCCACATACAGACTCGATAGGCGACACTTAGTACAGGTTTCAGAAACTGTAACTGAATCACAAACACTTGCACGGCCAGTTCAAACTACACCATAGCCAATCCCCCCAGAGACGGTCAACATGACAGGTGAAATAAAATTAATTTTCCCTGGAAGGGTGATTAAACCACCAAAAAGTTTAACGGAAGAGATGCAACATTCACTGAGACTACAGTAAACACAAGAGTGTGGAATTTCTGTTTATGTATAATGTCAGTTTTGTTTAAATTGTTTTGCAGGGTTTGACCAAATGCGACTGTAACTTCTTACTAATGTACAGGACATCCTGTTTTTGCATTTGGACCGTATAAGAGTTAAATGTCTTGTTACCCTAATAAAAGGAACTGTAATACTGATAAGGGGAATGTGTTATATGGGAATGTTTATGTGTGACAGTATCCTAATATCAGGCAGGGCCGTGCAGAGACGTTTAAAGGGGCGGGTGCTCAAAGTTAAAAAAGATAAGAACATAAGAACAGGCTGAATAACAACAACTCACATTCATGACGAATCTAATATGGAATTATGTGGATATCCATATTAGATCGTTTTTAGTGAAATAAAA